GACTATGTTCTAATTTATTGAGAAGGCTCCTGCACTGTTTTTTGTTTTTTTTTTCTTTTTTTTTCTTCACCTTACCAACTTTAGGCTGACTGGACTAAACTTAGTGTTATCGGCTTTTACAGGTGGCAATGCAAAATGTGAAATTGGAGACAAGGAAACGGCCCTGCGCCTCCTGCAGGACGTCCAGCTGGTTACCCTCCCAGAGCCGAGCAGCACCTCGCTTTGGTCCGACAGCAGCCAATCACAGAGCCCCATGCCAGTCATCAGTGAGGTGACGACGGTGTCAAACGCAGAAGCGGCCGGTGATCCGGGCTCTGCCTTCCCCCCGGCCATCCAGAACCAGTTTGTGTACAGCAGCTCCAGTGTGACCGACAAGTACGATTTCCTGCCTGGCAGCGAGAAGCTACTGAGCCACCCAAATGCCCACCAGCACAGCGCCTGGCAGTTTTTTGGTTTGGAGCCGGATCCCACCGGTCGGCCTCTGGATCGCAGCATGGCGGTGTGCAAGTTGTGCATGGAGCGTGTGTGCTGTGGAGGAGGAGCCGCAGATCTCCAGAACCATTTGACCATCAAGCATCACCTCAAACCTCGAGACATCACCAAGGATCGCGTCCTGGCAGCAGGTGACAAAAAAATACATGGCCAGGATAGGATTGATCCCACAACACTACCACACTTCATCCTTTAGATTTTATCAACGCTTTCAGCCGAGGCTTAGCCATTTTAATGCGTTTTTGTCTCCTTTGACAGGTCAGCGCATCGTTCCTGTGATGACTCCCGGCGGCGTTCACACCAGCTCTCATGTGGCGACATCTTCTCAAGTGACTAATGCCATCACCAGCTTCCTCATCAAGGATCTCCAGTCGCCAACTCTGGTGGAAGGAGAAGGCTTTAAACAGTTGCTGCACACGCTGCTGCCCTCCTACAAGGAGCCGCTCTCCTCCCAGCAGCTGCAGACCATCCTCAGAGACCACTACATCAAGGCCAAGATCAACATGGTCCAGCTGCTGAGGAGAAAAACCGCGAGCACCGACATCGAGGAGATGAGCGACTACACCGCTCCCATTGAGTTCGAGCCCCGGCGGCGCGGGCGACCCCTGAACCTTCAGAGGGCAGCTTCTCACTTCGTTACTTTGAGCGTGGACGTTTGGCTCCACAGCTGGCAGAACAGCTGCCAACATTACCTCACCCTCTGGGCTCATTACATCGACGATTGTGACTTCAGTCCTCATAACCTGGCTCTGGCCACCCAAAAACTGGAGGAGAGTGGAGCGAAAGACTTAAACCTCCAGGCAGTGGAGACGCAGGTGAAGGAGATGGCGCAGGAGTGGGGGGTCAGCCAGCCAAACCTGGTCTTGCTGGGAATGGAGGGGAAGCACAGGATGAGGCTGCGGCCCATAAAGACGGAGAAGGGGGTGGAGGCTACAGGGAGCCTCCCCCACCCAAATTCGACAACCTTTTTAGAGAGGGACGACTCGGCATCGCCCGAGGAACCGCAGGTGTCCGCCGAGCACTTCAGCGAGGGCCTCCCCTCCGTCCCATGTTTCTTCAGCGCCGTGCAGGGCTGCGTTGAGGAGGTGATGCTGCACCCTGTGATCTTCAAGACCCTCTGCCAGTTCCAAGGCGTTCTCTCCACCCTGCTGCTGCCTCCAGCTCAGAAGAGAGGCTTGTACCACCATCACGCGCGGAAGCTGCTGCACAGCCTGACCAAGTCGGAGCAGGACCGGGTCAAGCTGTGGGCTCACAGCCAGCCCACCTGGAATTTGCTCTATCCATTGCTGAACTCTCTCATCAAACACAAGAGCCTAATCTGTGACATAATAAAGGACATTAATGAAGAATGCATGGCCAGAGAGGAGTCGGCCAGCGAGCCGTTGGGGAGCCATCAGGCGAACTCCGCCTCCAGTACGTCGTCGACGAGCCTCCCCTCATTGCGCTCCGAGTGGAAGGTGGTGGAGGAGCTCTGCTTGGTCCTCAAACCTCTGGACGTGGCCTGTAGGACTTTGGCCAAAGAGGCCTTCCCTCGTCTATCCCTCATCAAACCCATTCTCACGGGCTTGCTGTCGCGCCACCTCGTGCCGCGGCCGGGCGACTCCTCGTCCATCCTGAAGGAAGTGAAGCGGATGATGAGACGGAACCTGGCGAGCTGCTACGACAGCCCAGCGGTGAACAGGGTACTGTGCGTGGCATGTTCCCTCGACCCCCAGTTTCATGGGCTGGGCTTCATGGAGGAGAAGGTGAGCTTTGTTTTGGTTTTTTTTGTTTCTTTCAAATACCTTTCCGAATACATTTTTCCTTCCACTTGACTTTCCATTTATATGTTTTAGACGGAGAAATCCACTTTTAGCAATGATCTCTTGTGCCTTACCGTATACTTTTCTGCCAGCAGATGGCAGTGTTTCCCTTTGTTGTTTGGGTCGCCACATGACATTACTGTTTAAAAGAAAAATACAATTTTTATTTTATTTTTAGTGGCCTGATGGTATATTTAATTGAAAGTTAATTTATTGCTGTCAATGTGTAAATTGTTTGAACTTATTACACAAAAAACAATATGATTCAATTCAAGGGTTTTTCTGTAATTATTTTAACAATTAAGCTGATGGGGGAAAAAAACAAAAATGTGAATATTGTTGATTATTCATTGTGTTTTTGTCTTTTTGTTAATTTAGAAAGAGCAGAATTTCTTGTGATTAGTCAATTTTAGTTATTGTTGAAATCAAACTATCTGTTTTATAAATGGGTCATTTGAGAATAATTGCAAAGAAATCAGTTAAGTAGTAGCATAATAAAAACAAAAAAGGTCATTTTCGAAAAAGGTAAGTTGCGAAAAAAAAAAAAAAGTCAGATTGGGCAGATTTTCTAAGATAAATTTACTTTATGTTCCTGGAGGCCGGAAAATAACTCGGTCAGCTCGTCTGCTTATCCTGAAGTTTTAAACACAAGAAATTTGCTCATGGATTCTCTCTGTGTTTAGTCCGGATCAACATGGTGACGTTGGTCTCCGACATTAGATCTTCCCCAATTTGCCAGATCTTTTTTATTTTTATTTTTCCCCCTGGATGAATTTCCTGCAAAGGATAATGAACTGTTTTAACCTCATGTTGCAGGAGCAGGTGGCCACATTCAACTGGCTGAAGCAGGAGGCTGTGAGGATTGCCAAGGAGGACAGGAAAGGGGCTAAAGCCAACCAGATGAAGAGAAGCTCCCCTCCCGTGTCCCCGGAGTCAGACAGCGAGATCCTGCGGCGGAGCAAACGCCTCAAAGAGTGTCCCCCGATCAACTTCAGAGAGCTGATCGTGGAAGATGAGTTCAGCGACGCTGGGGAAAACGACGACTGCGGCGACCCGTCGGACCCCTCTTGCCACGCGGGGCTCAGTGGCATGGAGTTCCTGCTGGGCGACCTGTTCTGCTCCACCCCCAGGAGCAGGCAGAGCTCCGTGGAGGAATCCGTCGACATGGAGATGTCTGTCTTCAGAGCCGACAGAGGGGCTTCGCTGGGGGTGGAGCCGCTGCAGTGGTGGAGGACCAAGGCGACTCAGTTTCCGCTGCTGGCCTCGGTGGCGCGGGTTTATATGGCTGCTCCAGCGGTGGCGGGAAATGCCGCGCAGGACTTCGCGCAGGAAGGACCGGGGAGAACCACAAACAGGAAGAGGTCCACCATTCCGCCCGAAAGTCTGGACGCTATCCTGTTTCTGCACCACAACCGCATTTCCACCGCTGAGGGTGGGCAGGACTGATGGCTGGGGGGAGGGGAGGCTTATTGAACATTAAAGAGGTTTCTTTTCCCCAGAGAGGTTCTGATGAAAAGAACTGAACCATTCCCTTCTGACTCGACTCGTCCAAGTTAAAAGTCCAAGTCAAATTTGAAAAGCAGCGTTGGTCCTGGAGAACCAATCAGCTAATTTCCCCTTCATCTGATTTTGCAGATAGGCGTTTACGACACATTCATGGTGTAGTTTTTCTTTTTATATTTTATTTTGTATGTTTTTGGCTGCAGACTGCAAAAACACAGAAATGTATTGTTTTCTGGATTAGATTAGGTTTTAACTACTGACTTAGATTTAACCTTAGTTTCTTACCCTTGTAGTCCTTTGTGCCTTATCTCGTTTCGTTAGCCACTCCTTCACATGTAATGTTTTCTAACCAAATTCAGCTTTTCTTCCCAACTTCTTTTTATACCTACAGCTGGTTATACTGAACTGTTTATGGGCTCGTTTTCTGCTGTTTTGCCTTTGATTTGTTTTTGTTTTGTTCATAAAAATATGAAGTAAAAGTTGATCAGTTATGATCGCGTTGCAACGACACTATTCAGTAAAAATCCACTGTAAAACATGCTGTCATGTTCAATTAAAGGTTAGCATAACCTCTGCTGTGATAGTTTTGTACCACCTTGTACTACTAAGCATAATATCTGTATCATAGGCTTTATAGAAGGAATTTTATACAGTCTGTGGTCTGTATTGTGCGTCCCTGAATGTATTCTTTCACCTTTTTATAATCAAATACAGAAAAAGAGGTTATTGTCTGAGTTATGTAGCAAACCTGTCCTTCTTTTTCCAATAAAACAGATTTAACAAGTTGAACATTTTCTATGTTTGTCATGCGGGTCGGGGGACTGTAATATACACTTCTGGTGCAATAAAGCAGTAAGTTCATTTCGGGCTTTGATTTAGTTAAACTTTTATTTTTAACAATAAAAAGTATTTGTTGAAGTGAAGGTAAAAAATTCAAACCTCAGAGTACTATACCAGCTGTCAAGCATGGCAGTGGCAGCCTCATGCTATGAGATTGTTTCACTCTTTCAAATATGGACTACCTCCACATTTTTCAATATCTCTTAAACCAACAGCAAATTTAACGTTTGGTATAATTTGATCTTCCAGTGAGGCAATGTTCCTAAAACACATATTTACAATGATTTTTTTATACACATGAATACAACAGCAAGAACCCTGTTGTGGTCAGTAGTTTCTGTCTTCCAATCTGGGAAATCTCAGTCATTTCCAGACTTTTAATTCTCCAAAACTGGAATTGACAGAGGGTTTACCCGTTCACTAAAAAGAAAACAAATTTTCAAACTTCCAATAAAACGGATTTAACAAGTTAAACAGTTTATGACTTTGAAAAATGTGTTTTTCAAAGTCATAAAAACACATTTGTTGCTGTAAGACATTTTAAAAAAGCATGTCTGCTTATAAAAATGATATAAAATATCCTTGTTTCTATTTTCTAGTTAAAACAATGAGATGGAAACGAGGAAACCTTGAATTATTAAACTTGTCACATATAATCATCCATCATCTACAGTTTAGCTTCAGCCAAAGTGGGACCGATATCAGTTGGAGGGATGTTCTCCCTGCTCCGGGCTTTTCTCCTGCAGTGGATGAAGACGTAGACGGGATGGATGAACACCAGAACAGAGAGGAGAGTGAGAGTAATATCCACCTGAAACAGATGGCATATATTCTAACATCTTCAGCATCATACAGTAACAATACGTTAAAACGCAAAGATGCACTCGTCTTTTGTAAATTGATATCTAGAGCTCACATAAAACGGATCTCCATCCAGAGGTCCTTTGACCAGGGAAATGCAGGGGTACTGCAGCAGAGAGATGACAGCAGAGAGCGACATCACCAGGCCGTACAGCTTCCCAAAGTGACGGGATGGAAATCTGAGAAGGAGGGAGTCAGACATGCAGAAAGTCAGAGATGGCTTTTGTTCTATTGTGGATAAAAACATACTGTGGTCTGCAGCACCTAAAAACGCAGCAGAGGGCTGAATATGTTTGAAATTGTTATAAAGTCTTGAGCCCAGCAACACTCATAATTGCAACTTCTATCCCTCAAACTACTTAATACTCAGCATTCATGTTATTTTATTGCTTTATATCAAGCAGATCATTGAGGTGCAGAATCTCCCCCCCCCCAAAAAAAAGTTCCACTTCTTAGGTAATAAAGAGGAAGATGCCTTCAACAAACTTTAACCAATTTCAATAAAATTGCTCTTTTCACCAGAAGTCTTCTCTCTATCATTACAGTGTCTTTGTGTGTAGCAACTGAATCGAGTGGAAAGTTAATTCTGAAAATGCATGAAAATTTCTACACAAATTACATTTTGTTTTCACTTAATGTAATAACTTTTGTGAAGATACAACTTCAAAGTATCAGAAGAAAAGTTCTCATTGCAAAGAGGGAACCTGAATTAAATATCAGAGAAACACCATGAAATCTTTCAACACATTACCTACATGGCCAAAAGACGTAACAAAGACCGACATATTTTGGTTTGATGTAACAGATGAAAAGATGAAAATCATCTCTTTTTTTGAAAAGATGGAAAAAAAATCTTTTCATCTGCAAAAATAATTTAAGTGATCAACACTTAATGTGCAGCATTGCTTAGTGTTAAGGAAAAGAATACAAGGGTCTCAGAGTTTTTTTTTAAGTGTGGCATCTATCTGTATTCAGCCTACTTTACTTTGCTGCCCCTAAATAGAATCCAATGCAAACTGCTGTCTTTAAGTTTACTCAATTACTGAAGAAAGTAATAAACTAAAATAGCATACATTTATAAATAATTATCTTCTTTATTTATTCTTATACCAGCCACTTACGCGATGCTAACGAAGGCTGCGTTTCCGCCGTAGAGAAAGGACCTGTTGAGGACCTGCAGGATGAAGGTGATGTACTGCAGCGGGAGGACGGGAATGGTGGCGCAAATAGAGAAGAACAGGCACTGCAGTGAAGTCAGGAACAGAGACAGGTAGGAGGAGCGCAGGTCAGCGTCCTGTTCAGTTTCTCCTGCAACGAGAGGATAGAAAGAGGGACAGGTTGATGTTGCACAGACATACAGTGTAGTCGGTCAGGCTCCAGGGATTTACCCGGGGCTCGAGGCTTTCCCTTGTGTCTGTCCAAGATGAGTCCGTTCCAGGGGGCGCACAACACTCCGCACAGCTGGGTCATTGCAAAAGCATTGGTGTACTGGCTCACTGAGAGGCACGTGGTGGAAAGCAGAACACATCAAAAATAATTAAATAATAATAATAAAAAAAGAAAATGAAAAGAAGAAGAAAATGGAGAAGTGGGTCTGAGAAAGTCACCCAGGGTGGGGTCGTTTCTGGCCAGCCGGCTGAGCCTGGAGTTGAGCGTGCCGATGAAGAGGTAGTGTCTCAGCTGCAGTATGGACAGCCACAACAGGTGCCAGAGGAAGAACCAGGACAAAACACAGCTCCGGAAGCTCGGCACTGAACAAATCAGAGGTTCAAAGCAGTAAATCCATTAATATCAGCCTTCTTGTCCTAAAGAACCTGAGAGTGAAGCAGCAGTACCAATATCTCTACACTGAGTGAGAAGCAGTCCATACGTTTCTTACTTCTTCCTACTCCTTTTCAAGCGTGTTAAGATTATTGTCAAGCACGTGCAGAGGGGAGGAGGGACTGGGGGTGCTTGAGCACCTGCCCCTTTTGCTCCTTGCCCCCAAGTGCCCTTTTGGTCAAACTTTTTTTTGTTTTTTTGTATTATTTTCTAAACCCTCTTCTGACACATAATAACGTACTAAAATTATTATTATTTTTTAATTTTATTATTTTTTTTTCTTTTGTA